CCCCGGAGAGATCCGAGCTGACTCAATAATCACCCTTCAGTTTTACGGGCTGGTCCGAAAAAAACCTTGTGAAAATCAGGGCTCCTTGAAAAAACACCCTATAATTTCAGTCAAAACAGGGTAATTGCCCTGATAACTTAGGCCCTGATCCCAGTGCGGGGGGGGTGTCAGAGGTCCACTGGAGATCCCCGATTGATCCTAGGGAAGGGTTACAGGCACGTTGGCCTGGGGGGTTATGGGCGCACTCACCCGCTATACAAACAAGCCCTTTTATCCCAGTGGTTAGTGACTGGGATTCTGACATGGTATCAGAGCGAAGGTCTCGGGTTCGAATCCCGGTGTGTGCACCTCGGGCATCCTAGTGCGGGGGGGTGTCAGAGGTCCACTGGAGATCCCCAATTGATCCTAGGGAAGGGTTACAGGCACGTTGGCGTGGGGGGTTATGGGCGCACTCACCCGCTACACAAACAAGCCCTTTTATCCCAGTGGTTAGTGACTGGGATTCTGACACCGACGACTTGGTCGGGTGCACGGGAGTTGCAGCCGACCGTTCACAGTGGGAGAGCTGCTTGACATGCTTCTCGAGCTGCAGGGAACCGTTGTGGTGTTGATGTCGACTGGGAGGTCGACGGAGCTGCCGGTCGACCTACAGTTCGACCGGGGAGGTCGACGGAGCAGCCGTCGACCTGACAAGTGAGCAGCGGTCGACGAGGGGAGCTCGGCGACATCAGCTGTCAATCCTGGTCGACGGAAGGGGTCCGTCGACCAGGGGGTAGCTCGACGAGAGCGGTAGTCGACCAGAGAGAGGTGTGGTTGACCAGAGGCACCTGGTGGTCGACCGGAGGCACCTGGTGGTCGACCGGAGGCACTGGTGGTCGACCGGAGCACCTGGTGGTGTCCGGGTCGACCGGGTAACCTGCTCGACGAGTTCTGCGGAGGCACGCGAACGTCGTCAAGGTCGCGATGGCGAAGGCGACTTCGGGATGGTATCCCGAAGTCGATGTGGCTCGTCAGGCGCAGACAACAGCCGACAGATGCACAACGGGTCAAGCCGGGCCAATCGTCTGCGCGCACATGCGAGCGTGCGCAAAGCTGTCTTCTACGGGGCAACGCTGGACAGCCGCTCTGCTGCAGCGTTGGCACGATGTCGACCTGCTGTGTTGGCAGGTCATTCTTCTGCAGTGCTGGTGCGGCTCCTCTACACAACGCTGGCAGGCTGTCGACCATGCAGCGCTGGCTGTCGACCAGGCTAGCTGCAGAGTTGCTAGGTGCCTGATGTAGTCAGTTCTGTCATTGCTTGTTTAACCATTATGTAATTCCAACTTTGCTAGTGGAAACTCTTGCCAATTTCTCCCATGAATGTGCCAGTAGTAAGGAACCAAACAAAGCTACGATCACTCCTAAAAGTTCGTGCCAACCCCCGTAGTCTAGCTCACTACCGTTGTAGAGTGTATCTCCGCATGGTGCGGTGAGCGTGGACGGCCCCGCAGATTACCTTCAGATAGGAGCCGACTTTTGCACCCACTAGGCCGGCAGCAGCGTTAGTCGCCATGGTCGACCCCGTTGTAGAAGCGGGCGTAGCGAACACCTTGGAGGCACGATTGGCTGATGCGAGGAGACGCCACACGGATGGCGAGTACGGGACGATCTCCTTGACGATCATCGAGTTGGGCATCCGGGGCGCAGTGGGCGACGGATCACCCTTCCCGTTCTTGGCGAAGTCGGCGGCCCAGTTCCACCGCGGTCGACGGGTGGAGGCCGACCAGGCATGACGCCGACCTGGTGGCGTTGTCCTGGTTGCTCGATCGACCGGGATACCCTGGCGATGGACTTCGGCAGAGGCGTGCGAATGTCGCCGGAGTGGCTTCAGCGAGATCGACCACGGTGTGGTATCCCGAGGTCGACGTGACTGGTGGGCACAGTCGTTGACGTGGACTCTGCCAGGCGTCTACGCGGTGCTTGCTAGTGACAAGGCGTGGAGCACCAACCAGCTGCACGCACCTGCGAAGCTAGTGCACCAGTGTCATATGGATGCAACGCTGTGCAGCCGACTTGCTGCAGCGCTGGCGCACCGCAGACTTGCAATGTTGGCAAGCCGCATCCTTGAACTACTGGAGCGCGGTCGACCAAGTTGTGGTGGAACGCGGTCGACCGTGCTGCTCTGGCAGTCGACCAGCAGCTGTGCTAGCTCTGATGTAGTATGTGTTACCAACTTTGATGCTATCATTCTGGACCCATTTTTTACATGTTTTCTTAGTGAAACTCAAGTAATTCTCCCAGTCAGCTAGCAAGAAGCGCGAACACAAGGAAACGAATAAGTGAATGAACGCAGAGATCATACTAGCCCCGTGCCTAGCTCGTAATCTAGCTCCCGTCGACAGAGACATCTCCGCAGTTTGGACTAATAGCTTCGGTCATGTGGGCTTGGTTCGCACAGGTTTAAAGCTTACTATAGGTGGTGCGGATTCAGTCACAAGTGTGCACCAACAGCTAGTACAGGTGAGATTGTGTGCACTAATACCGTAGCAGATTCTTGCCAGCGACCTGAGTGGAATGGGAAGGTGAAGCTAGAAGGGGTTCCCTCAGGTGCTCTCCCTGCCTCACCGCCTCTTGGTGTAGTTTTTCGCCCATAAAAATATCTTTGTTTGACTCACTTGTGCTAGTCTGACAGCTTGTGTATGAGCCGATTAACTCCTTCAAAAGATACACAGATTACCTATGTTCCTTATTCATGCTAACACACTTTTGTGAACGGAATCATTTCTGCTAGTTTGACAGCATGTGTCTGAGAGAAGTAGCAGTGCCCCGCTTCAATCACCTAGTTGGTATGTATGTTTAGCCAAACCCTTGCTATATGGCAACGGAAAGCACGTGATGCAACCTTCCATTCCCAGGCAAGGCCACTGGAGCCCCAATTGCCCAGGCAATTCGGCTCTCCACGTTATCATTATTTACCCGCTGGGTCAACTCTCCCGCTGCTGCTACAGACACACTTTCTGAAGCCTGTGCCTGCAGTGCTGGGGCCGCGACAGTGGGGGGTGGCTGTGAGGGGGCGAAGAGAGAAGGCTGAAGAGAGGGGAGCGACGAGGGGAGGTGAGAGAAGGACGAGGAGGTGTGAGGGAGCAGGGCTGAGAGAGAGGAGAGAGTGTGGAGGTCCGGGAGGATGATTTCCCGCATTACTCCTGGGTCGTGTGGGTCGCGCGGGTCGTGTGGGTGGAAGAGAGCCAAGAGTCGGCTGCCACACCCCACAAGCTGCCGCAGCCTTCCCAGATTGGCAGTACCAGCAGATCTGGCAGCACTGGTAGAACTGGCAGCAGCAGCAACAGCAGCAGCAGCAGCAGAGGGTGCGCAGGGGGGCACGAGAGGGCAGGGTGACGTGGGTGGACAGGGTGGCGAGGAACAATATCCCCCATGCGAGCCGCTGCCACAGGGGTAGAGGACGTGAGGGGACGGGCGAGGTAGAGGACGAGGCGGCGAGGGAGAGGAGAGGCGAGGGCCAGCAGGGACCCATCTTTGGTGAAGGTGGTTGAAGACGAGCAGAGAGAGGGAGGGGTCCAGGGAGCAGAGCACGGAGTAGGTGGCGGGTGTGACATTTGTGGCATGTGTGGCATGTGTGGCATGTGTGGCATGTGTGGCATGTGTGGCATGTGTGGCATGTGTGGCATGTGTGGCATGTGTGGCATGTGTGGCATGTGTGGCATGTGTGGCATGTGTGGCATGTGTGGCATGTGTGGCATGTGTGGCATGTGTGGCATGTGTGGCATGTGTGGCATGTGTGGCATGTGTGGCATGTGTGGCATGTGTGGCATGTGTGGCATGTGTGGCATGTGTGGCATGTGTGGCATGTGTGGCATGTGTGGCATGTGTGGCATGTGTGGCATGTGTGGCATGTGTGGCATGTGTGGCATGTGTGGCATGTGTGGCATGTGTGGCATGTGTGGCATGTGTGGCATGCACAGCCGCCCTGCTGCTGTGGGCGCCTGGTGGTGGTGGAAGCATCTCAAGCCGTGACGCCTGGAGGCACACTGTGCTGCTGCGTGGTTTCGTCGAGTCTTCTTCTGCTGCTGGCTTTGCAGTCACATCCGACACAGTCACACCTGCTACAGTCACAGCACCTGATCCAGTCACATCCGCTACAGTCACTTGTGCCACGTGTGTTCTGGTCCAGATGGCATGGATGGCATCACACTCCTCCACCTCCCTCCACATCTCATCGCTCTCCCAATCAGCCTCCAACACACCTGCCTCTGACACCATGCTGCCTCTGTGTGAGTGGTGGTTGAAGCCCCCCGGGTTGAGACCCAAGCACCCCCGCGGTGAGATGTGTCGTCGCACAAACACCCGCCCTCCAAGCACAAGCGAGTCAAGCCTTGGGAACTGGTAGTACTGCTGCGTGCTGCCACTGCTGTTGCTGCCGCGGCCTTGGGTTAAGGGACACCCACTCAGCATGTCACTCGTGCTGCCACTGCTGCCACCGCTGCCACCGCTGTTGTTGCTGGTGCTCTTGTTACTAGAACCGCGTCTGCCCTTGTTACTGTCCCAATCGCCAGCACCGAATCCGTCCATAGGCATGTCAATGCACATCGTGCACATTCCCAGGAGTGGGTGGCGTGAGTGGTTGTTGCTGGGAGAAGCCTTGCCACTGCTACGTGGCAAGTTAGGAGAAGCCCCAGAACGTGAACAAACAGGATGTTTCTCAGCTACCCCCGTTTCTGAAGGGCAAACAGCAACTGTACCACATGAACCAGAAGCGCTCGCGCGCGGGAAAGACGGCACAGCACACCCTCCGACCACCATGAGGCAATCCCCCTGCCCCCCATTCCACCGCACCCCACCCATGGCAGCCACCACGGGGTCCAACCTGGGCAGCATGCACGGCTGCTGGACGACAAACCACGCGCCCATGTGCCAGTCAAACACTGACACGTGGCGCACATACTGCGGCCTGCCTGACTGGCAAGGCACGGCGCCACCCACGATGGCAAACCCGGTTCCGGGAATCACGGCGGCAGCAGCGCCGTAGCAGGCTGGGTGGGCGTGGGGGTTGGTGGGGGGAAGCGGAGGCAGGCGGCGCCACCTGGGGGGGGATGCGTTGGAGGCGCAGCAGCTACGGAGGTCCGGCGACGCCCCGTACCTGCCGCAGGTTTGGCAGGGTTGGCATGGGTAGCACGGGCTGTAGGTTTGGCAGGGACCGGAAGGGTTGCAGGTGCCGCGGCATGGGTGGCCTGTTCTGTTGGGACAGCAGGTTTCGCAGGTGCAGCAGGCGAACCACTGCAGTCGCTGGCTAACTGAACCCTCGCCGCCATCGCTGCCACCCACACATGCCACCAACAGTGCAGCCGTGTTCCGCACCCACTCCCCTCGCCCCGCACCCCTCTCCCCCCCTTCTTCCGCGCGAACGCGCCGTCGCAGGCGACCGAACGACGCGCTGCGGATCGCAGCCACCCAGCCGCGCGACACGCAGCGAGCGGCGGGCAGGTCCCAGAGCGCGAGTCGCGAGATGCAGGCGAGCGCGAGGTCATGGGGAAGGCCGGGGAGCAGATGGCACTCGACGGAGGCAGAGACGGACTCCATTGAGAGCTTTATAATACTCAAACGCGACTCGGGAGCGATTTTTCAATCGCGCGACACGATATGGTAAAGGCTCCAAGATACAGATAGTGCTTGGCGGATGCAGGGACGGACTCTGTGGCTGGTGCAGCTTCCTATATTGTGCAGCTTCAAATGCCCTCTTTTAGGTCGACTCGCATGTCACCCCGGCGGTCGCGGAGGCAGAGACGGACATTACACGGAACTCCCTTGTGCTCTCACACCGAATGCCTCGCACATCCCAAAATTGACGGCGTCCACGGCGGCTGGGCTTTTCGTTCAGTACGCGCGACACCGAGAGGGCCGACGAGCTGCGCGGCGACGAGCTGGACGACGAGCTGCGCGACGAGCTGCGCGACGAGCTTACTCGGGGTTAGGATCCTTGCTGACGATGGTTGGAACTATCAACGCGATAAAGATTCCAGATGGGATTCTACGAGATTCTCAGCGACGGCTTGCCGGTACTGGTGCTTCTGCTTCTGCTTCTGCTTGCTTCTGCTGATACTGGTGGGACTGGGAGATAAAGCCATGTGCGCGGGAGCGGTTGAAACAAAAACAAGGTTACCGAGAAGAGAGGAGTCTGTTCTGCACCAGCGACTGCTTGCTTGGCTCCGCCCCATCCAGACTCCGGAGAGACAGACGCTGCTTGCGTCCTACTTCTGTCGGCGGAGCGCTTTCCTCGTCGGACGTGCCGCCATGGTTCGTCCGCCGCGACGGCCGGCATCGGCGAGGGCTCGTCGCGGCGCGGATCTGTGATTACCTGGCGGGCCCGCAAAAAAACGTCAGCTTTGCGGCAGCCTCGCAGGGTGACACAGCGAAGCGCAGGTGTTTGACAGTGGGAAATGCTGTCACTATGGGACCGGTTTTCGGTTTCCAGTGTGGCGGATGTACAGCTGGGAAATTATTTAGTTAGTCACAATTAGGCCCTGTTTATCACGTTTGGTCACGGGGGTATCACGAACAGTCACAGTACACTTCGTAACTATCACGTGTGATCACAGTGCTATCACGGATAGTCACAGCTTGCCCCACAAGTCTATCACGTTTGGTCACAGATGAAATGCCCAATTAATTAATGTAACTACTAAAGTAACTGTTGGGAGACAGGGGAAATTTATATCGCGCGCGCTGTTTTGTCCGTAGTGTTGCGAGACGCTGTTAGTTACGAAATATTTTCGCGACCACTCTCGTCAACTCGCAAAAACCATTGGTAACATCGGAAAACTAGCTCGTTGCGCATTGTTCACGGTTGGATTGTCCACTGTTCGATTTGTGCATAATGACCCTAAGAATATTACTTTTAGGCGGGTGAAACTTGAAGGTTAACCCGTTCGGATGGGATTTCCTTCTGGAGGCATCAACCCTAAATACCTTGTCGCAAGGTGTTTAGGGTTGATGCCTCCCGAAGGGTGTGCCATCCTTTGGGGTTTAGTTTTTTCTTCAGTCCCCTAAATGTCAGACTAGAATCATGCGCGAGGGTAACCAGCAATCGAGATTGGGATTCCCCCAAATCTCTACAGTTTCTTTTGTGGTTTCAAATAAATTATACTCGTTACATCGAGTGACCAAACGTGATAGCTTTTCGGGGCAAGGTGTGACCATCCGTGATAGCACTGTGATCACCCGCGATAGAAATCTACTGTACTGTGACTGTTTGTGATACCCCTGTGACCAAACGTGATAAAACGGGGAAAATTGTGACTTCCCGTAATTTCCCATGTACAACTGGCTGCCAGCAACGACATGTGTGAGACTGTACCCTACAACAAGGGTGACGTGTCACTGATTTTTTTCCCTGAATTTTTGCAACTGTTCTGGTGTCCTTCGGTTAACGAAAATGTTTGGAAAATTGTGTTGCTGTTTCTGGGTAAGCGTGATATGTCAACACCGTACAGAAATAAACAACGTTTCGGGCAGATAGAAGGTACCTTGGGTTTTTGTCATTTCAGCCTGTGACAGGTGCGTCGCTTGTCGCGTTCTGCACAAAAGCTGCAGTTTGTGTTTTTGCGGGCTTCGACTTGATTCTCGAATTTGCGAGAAAGCTGCCGCTGATGGGGTATTTTGTCGCATTTGAACGTTTAGCTGCACGCGCAATTGTCGGCAGAAGCTCTGAAAATTGTTTTTTCCCCACCAGATTCCACGGTACTTCATTCCACCGTGCGTTGCACCTCTGATTTTCTCGAAATCAGTCCTTGTTTCTTCCCAGTTCAGTTGTGAAAAGAAAAGGCGTGAACGTGAAACAAACCACGAAACGACAAAACGACAACAATGCAAGGCATTGCGCCCAACTGCCCCAAGCCACAGTCATTCCTTGACGACAGAGAGCCATCTTGTGCTCCCTCTGCCTCGATTTGCACCCGTGGTTTTCAGTAAAAACAGCCTGTGATTGATTGCCTGGCGGCACGGGAAAATGCGTCACCATCATGCGAGGAAGCTCCATCTGCTTTTGCTCTTGAGTCTACATAAATGCATGATATGACGCCCCGCTAGGCCTGTGGGCCATTGATCGACGGCAGTCGGGCCTACGGGAAAGCGCACGTGACATGAGATAAGGCTCGGTTGTTGTCCTCGATTTTAGGTGCAGCATTGCGCACGTGATGTGTGTGTGTGTGTGTGTGTGTGTGTGTGTGTGTGTGTGTGTGTGTGTGTGTGTGTGTGTGTGTGTGTGTGTGTGTGGTGTGTGTGTGTGTGTGTGTGTGTGTGTGTGTGTATGTGTGTGTGTGTGTGTGTGTGTGTGTGTGTGTGTGTGTGTGTGTGTGTGTGTGTGCTGCCTAAGTTGTGACAGTGCAGGTGGGCGACGGCGCAGGCAGCCATGATTGTGTTTGCGAACGTCGCCAGCCACGCCTGCGCGATGAAACAACGTCGTCATTTCGCAACGCCCAATGGTTGGGAACAGTGGTTCACTAGGGCGTATCCCTTTATTGGAGATAAGAAATGTATTTCTCATGGCATTTTTCTCATCATTTTTTTCATACACGAAGTCCCCTCCTAGCTACTCTACCATATATCCTGCGTAGTATACATTTCTACAAACAATCATCAGTCAATCCTTCGATATCACAATCTCCGTGCAAGGTCCACTCTTCTTTTACAACTCGTAACACTTTACATCTTAGCTACTTTAGTTCAACTGCGTTTCCATACTAGTTAAGACTAATACACCACTCCAACGTTGCGGGAACAACCCGCTTTCTCTGCATGCACCCTCAACTCCTCCTCCACATGCGCCCTCACCTGTGCAAGCGTGCCTGCTTGCTCCGACTGCTGCAGACACTGTAAGTACGAGCACGGATGGTGTGGGAGGGTGTGGGAGAGGAGAGGGGTGAAGGGGTGGGAGTTGGGGAGTTGGATGGGGAAGGGGCTGATGGTTGTGAAGCTTGATTGTTGTAACACCACCAAGTGTGCAGCCGCAACTCCTCTTCCACATGCGCCATCTCCCGTGCAAGTGCGCCTGCTTGCTCCGACTGCTGTAGAGACTGAAAGTACGGCCATGAATGGTGTGGGAGGGTGTGGGAGATGGGTGACGATGGGGTAGGAGTTGGGGGGTTGGATGGGGAAAGGGGCTTGTTATGACGAAGCTTGAATTGTCGTAGCATCACCATCACCAAGTGTGTACCTGTTGTGACAGCATCAATCACCCTAAGAACATGCCACGTCATGAATACCACACTCAGGCTGTCTGATCATTTTATCTGCACACACACCAGCCCATCCACCACACACCAGCCCATCCACCACACACCAGCCCATCCACCACACACCAGCCCATCCCCAGCACACACCCCGCCCACCACTTACCTCCAGAAGCTTCTCAAGCAGCTTCCGTGGAATCACCACCTCCCCTCTCCCCCCATTCTCCTCCCCCTTCCCCTCCACCCCCTTTCCATCCCCTCTCTCTCCTCCTTTCTCCCCCTTGTCCCCCATCACCAACCCCATTCACCCCAACCCCCCCTCTCCCGCCGCCACCCCCTTTCCCCCCTCTCCCCACGCCGCCCCTCACAAACGAGTACACAGCAGCAGCGTCTGCCGTCCGCTTGTGCCGCACACACGCCGCCAGCACAGCCAGCATCTCCTCCGCAAAGACGGGCGGCGGCGGGCGGGCGGCGAGCACCATGTGCGTCAGCGTGAGCATGTCAGCGATGTGCTGACGTGTTGCCAGGTGGCGCGCGAGCAGCATGGCCTCGCGGGGCGAGGTGGAGGGCGAGTAGATGCCCATGCTGTGGCCCCACTTGAGCACTCGCAATGCACACTCGTGCCCGTGATACTCCTCCTGCTGCCCCTGCCCCTGCCCCTGCCCCTGCTCTCCCCCAAGCTCCTGGCCCTGCTGCTGCCTCTGCCCCTGCTCTTGCCGCTGCTGCTGCAGTGCGTCTCCCTCCCTTTCACCATCCCCACCCCTCTGCACCCCTTCGCCCCCTTCAACATCTAGACGCCCATCCCCATCCGCGTCCCTGTCCCCGCTCCCCCTGCGTGCCACGTGGCCATCCATGTGCATGAGGTGCCGGGCCACCAAGGCCACGTCCTCACTCTCCATCCACGACCGCTGGGCGTTCAGCAGCCGCATGCCATGACTCGCGCGCATCTCCGCATACATCCCCGCCACCCACCGCACCTTCTTCTCGCGCCACTGCTTCCCCCCTCCCGCTCCGCCTGCGCGCGCGGCGCTCCCCCTGCCCTGGCGCTGCAGCCATTTCTCGAAGGAGGGCGACTCCTCTTCTTCTAGGATGCGCTTGTGCCGCACGGCCCGCCGCGCCGCCTCCGCCTTCGGGTGGTGCTGCTGCTGTTCCCGCCCGCCGCCACGGCTCCTCCCCCCCCCATCGCTCCGCTCGACCCAATCGAACCGCCCGCCACTACTAGTCCGCTCGCCCCAGTCGCTCCGCTCGTTGCTCCCCCTGCCGCCGCGCGGCCGCGCGCGCTGATCTCCCCTGCGCGCGGTGTCTCGCGACGGCGGTGGCTCTCCGCTGTAGCGGATCCATTCCTCCGCGCGCCGGGTCTCCTCGCGCCAGTCCTCCGCCGCGCGCCGGTGCTCCGCGCGCCGGTTCTCCGCCGCGTCACCCTTTGTTTCCCAGTTGCCCCTGCTCCCCCCGCGCTCACTGTCTCGGCTGGGGGAGTTTGAATCCGCAGAGGGGTGCGCGGAAGCACTGAATTGGCGGAGCGAAAGCAGAAGCTTAGGGGCTGCCGGAATCGCGCAGGGCGTATGCGGAGGAGGCGGAAGCAGCGCGTGATCGGGGGCGGCGGTTAGGCGGGAGAGGTTGCGCGTGTGCAGCGGGAATGGCGGAAGAAACTGTGAGCGAGCGGACGAGTGCAGACGTGGAATGTCGCGCAAAATCAGACGGTGGTCGTGCGGAAGAGCGGGAGATGGCGCGGCCGGGGAGCGGATGGCGGATCGCGCGGCTAACGACGGCAACGCGTGGGGAGGCGACGCGAGGAGACGGCGACAGGCAGTGGTGAGACGGCGGAGAGCCGACCGCCGACTCGACATGGGACGAGTCCGCGAAACACCACGTGCTCTCGACTGCGAAAACCCTAAACGTCGGCCGACCAGGCCAGCGCCTTACGAGGCGAAAGCTAGGCGCATGGAGAGGATGTGGCGCGTCGTAACAGCCGCACGCGTGAACAGGTGAATGATGGACCAGCTGGTTGGGCAAGGAGAATCTGAGGTGGGGTGGAGGCCCACTTGCAACTTGTTTGGGGAAGAGGTGTGTGGGGGGTTATCGCGGCAGAGTCGGCTTCCAAACGTTTTAGTACGTTCTGATACGGTGAAGTTTCGGAATCTGCAATGTGTATGTGCTTGATTTGGGAGGGAACAACAACGCAATTGCGCGTCGGCCTACTTCGAGGATCAATTCATGTTTGACTTGCTTCCCGCCAAAACACATTCACACCCTCTCTCTATCCCCACGCTCTTCCTCTGTTGCCATTTTTGAAACGGCACAGCACTGACCCAATACAATTGAACTCAGTCAATCGCATGCTAGTCTTAGCAGCCGCGCTCTTGAGGGCGTGAGGTAGTCATGGTAATAGAGGCAGCGGCCTTCAGTTCCCGCAATGGCCGCCGCATTTCCCGCAAGCAGCCACACTCGATCGCTGCTCGTCGTCGTGCTCGGCGCGCTTTGTGCATCGTTTCTCCTCCTCCCCCTCTTCTCCTCCCAGCCGCTCTCCGACCGCGCTTCGACAACCCGTTTCGCCACGTCATCATCTGAACAAGCAACAGTCGTTGAATCAAATCCCAGCCAACCGCTAATCAGCTCGCAGCAGCTGATTGGCTCGTTAGTTCCGCAAATAGCGCCGGTCGACGTGGCAATGCCTTCCGAGCATCTCGAGGCGCGAGTGAAAGAGCTTTTGGCCGCTTGGGATCCGACACATGTCATTTCGCCTTCAACTGAAACGGGTGAAAAAGGGCGGAAAGCGAAGAAAGGGCGGAAAAAGCGGGGTAAGGGCGCAAAGGGGGGCGCTTCCGCCAATGCCGCGGAGGAGGAAACAGCTTCCCCGTTAGGCGCATCCGCGGAGGAACCGCCGGGGGAGCTGGCGCAAGGGGGAACGGAACCGCTTTCCCCCGCCCCGCCGGTCCCCCGCGCGCCGCATCTGGTGGATTGCGCGGAGCGCGCGAGACAGCACCGCGAGGAATGGTGGGCGGCGCGACCGGCGGACGGCTCCCTTCCGCCGTGGGCCGTGGTATGGCGCGCGCGCGAGCACGCGTCGCGAGACCCGCGCGCGTACGAGATGCTTCCGCGCAGGGGGAGAGCGGGGGGCGGGGAAGAGGAGGAGGACGGGGAAAAGGAAGAGGAGGAGGGCGGGGGGGATGAGAAAGTGGAGAGGGGGAGGGGAGTGAGGGAGGAGGAGGATGGTGGCGGCTCAGGCGCCCATGAAGCAACTGCTGCTGCTAGTGGTGGTGCTGCTGCTGCTGAGACAGCTGAAACCGCTTCCCAGCAATTTTCTCTGAGCACGGATGCTGACGTCATAGAAGAGGGACCGTTTCCGCCATGGGTGGAGGGCGGGGAGGGCGGGGAGGGCGGGGGGAGCGCCAACCTGCCGCTGACTCGCCTCGTGCAGACCCACCTGTGGCGCCGCCAGTTCCCCGCCAACTGCTCCCTCCCCCATGTGCGGTGCGCTCGCCCTTCCACCATCCCCTTTTGTGCCCATTCCCTTCGTCCCGCATTGGCTTGTGCAGACCCACCTCCGTGCCGCTTGTTCCCCTCCAACTGCTCCCTCCCCCATGTGTGGTGGGCTTCCCCTTTCCCCATCCCCTCTTCCGCCCAACCCCCCTTCCGTCCATCCGCCCTTCCGCCCCATCCCCCCTTCCGCCCATCCTCCCTTCCGCCCATCCTCCCTTCCGCCCATCCTCCCTTCCGCCCATCCTCCCTTCCGCCCATCCTCTACCCCCCGAGCTCCCCTCACCTATCCCCCAATCCCCCATGCAGCGACCTTTGCTCGCCTGTCCCAACACCATTCCCTTTCCAAAGCCGTTTCTGTCCCACCAGGGCTGCCCCCTCCCCTCGCTCCTCTGCTGGTTTCGACACCTGCGCCCATTCCCTCCGTCCCTCCCCTCCGCCGTCCTCCCAATATCCCTTTTTCCTTGTTGCCTTCCCCCCCACTGAATTTCCACGTCTGCAGGTTCATGCATGTGCGCAGCATTCGAGCGCAGGTTCATGCATGTGCGCAGCATTCGAGCGCAGGTTCATGCATGTGCGCAGCATTCGAGCGCAGGCGGAGAGACGGGTATACATGGCAGAGCAGCACCTTACATGCATGGCATGGCAGAGCAGCACCTCGCATGCATGGCATGGCAGAGCAGCACCTCGCATGCATGGCATGGCGGCAGCGCTGGGGCAGGCACCCTGTCAGTCACACCCACCCACCCATCCGACTGTCCCCCTTCTCCCCACTCTCCCTCCCTCTCCCATCTCCACGCCTGCCGTGCTGCAGGTTCGTGTATGCAGCATTCGAGCGCAGGCGGCAAGACAGTTTCACAAAGCAACTGCGTTCATGGCTGCAGCGCTGGGGCAGGCAGTGCAGGCAGGCACCCCACCCATCATTTCTTCCTCCTTTCCACGCCTGTCGCCCTGCAGGTTTATGTATGCGGCGTTTGAGCGCAGGCGGCGCGACGGCTTCGCGAAACAACTGGCGTACATGGTGGCAGCACTGGGGCAGGCGGTGCAGCCAGCCAACCCCATCCCCTTCCCCCCCGCCCCCCCCCCCCCCCCCCACCTCCCCCCCCTCACACCTTTTTCTACCTTCCCTCTCTCCCACGGCATTGCAGGTTCATGTAAGCGGCGTTTGAGCGCAGGCGGCGAGACAGCTTTGCAAAGCAGCTCGCATATATGGCAGCAGCACTGGGGCAGGCGGTGCACCCACCCATCATTCCTTCCCCCCTTTCCCCCGTTACCTCCTGGCAGGTTCATGTATGCAGCATTCGAGCGCAGGCGGCGAGACAGCTTTGCAAAGCAGCTGGCGTTCATGGCAGCAGCGCTGGGGCAGGCGGTGCAGCAGGGGCGCGTGCTGGTGGCACGGACGTATGACCGCGCGCAGCACGCGGGGTGTGAAGGGGAGGCAAACGCGCAGTGGCACTGCTACTTCCTCCCTGAGACGTCTGATGAGTGCCGCAGGTGAGGTTAGAGGAGGGGTGAGGTGCAGCAGGAGCGCGTGCTGGTGACGCGCACTTATGACCGCACAGCATGCGGGGTGTGAAAGGGAGGTGAACGCGCAGTGGCACTGCTACTTCCTGCCTGAAACGTCCGATGAGTGCCGCAGGTGAGGTGGGGGAGGATTGCAGAAGAGGGAAGGGCTTTTCTGGTGTCATTGCCGTGTCATTCCCACACTCGGGACTTCAGGGTTGTCCCACAGGCAGCCGTTCTTTGAGGCGCCTCAAATGTTAGATGACTTTTGAGGCACCTCAAAACGGCTTTTCTGGTGTCATTGCCGTTTCGTTCCCACAGAAGTTCCTTCTGGGTTGTCCCACAGGCAGCCGTCCCCCGCTGCACCCAATACCTCGCCTGCTTCACCCCGCCCTCACCCCATCTCCCCTCCCTATCCCTTGCCCCTCTCCCTCATCCCCTCCCACTCTACCCTTCCCCTTCCATTCTCCCCACAGGCGGGTGAAAGCGCTATCAGAGCTTCCTTCTAGCTATACCGGCCCAGACCCCCTTATAGTCACAGGGCGTAGAGTCACAGAGGCGTCACTGGAGGAGTGGGGTGAGGGCGAGGGTGAAGACGGTAGCGCTGACGTGGCAGCTATGGATAACACAGCCAATCAAAGACCAGCTGAGGACAGCTCGACCAATGAGGGCTCAGAAGAGGCGAATACGGGCAAGCCAGGGTCAGCAGCGGAATATTTTCGCAATGAAGTTCCGACTGTGTGGGGGGAGCCGTGGCGAGATATGGTGGGGCGAGTGGGGGCGTGGGATGTGGGGGGGTTAGGAGCAGGGGAAGAGGCTGTGGGAGGGAGAGGAGGGGGAGTAAATGATAGCCAACCAGATTCGAAGCAGCTGAATCGGTAAGATGTGAGGACGAGATGCATGCATGGATAGTATGATGCATTACGGGCTAAGGGCGGATTCCTGGCTTTGGGACATCCGCCCTTTGAGTCATCCGAATTTGTGGGACCCAATGAAAAACCCCAATTTCGGATGACTCCAAGGGTCTCACCTCCCACCTCCCACCTCCCACCTCTCACCTCTCACCTCTCAGTCGCCAGCAGCCCAGCATCACACTCTTTGAGCGGTTTGCCTGATCTACCTCTTTGAACCGTGACCTACCAGTCTGAACAGTGATTCATGGGCTGAAAACGAACTTGTCGGACCCACCAGGCCTAAGAGGCCCTTCTCCACCCTCTTCGTCAACCCCCCCCCTCCCTTTCCCTTCCCCTCTTGCCCGCCCCGCCTCCTCACATGCGTCACACTCAACCCGTCTGCCTCTTTCTCTATGCAATGCACTCATGTCCAGCCTTTCCCCCGTTCCCCCGTTTTCCCCCGTTCCCCTGGTCCCCCCGTTTCTCTCGTCCCCGTTTTCCTCCACTCAATCCAAAGCACCTGTGGTGGCTGGTCCGCTTCCTTCCTCCAACCTCACCCCTTCTCCCCTCCCCACCCCACCCCCCTCCCAGCCTGAAGCACCTGTGCCGGCGGGCCCAGGTGCAACCAACCCCCCAACCACCCCCCTGTTTCCCCTCGTCCTCCCCTTTCTTCCCCCCTTCCAGCCTCAATCACTTCTGGTGGCGGCCCAGGCACACCAACCCCCCAACCAGCCCGCTGTCCCCTCCACGCCCCACAACCAACTCTCCCCCCACCCCCCTTTTCTTCCCCCCAGCCTGAAGCACCTGTGGTGGCGCGCCCAGGCGCTGCGCTTCCTGCTGCGCGCCCCCTATTCCCCTGTTTCCACAACCAGACCTCTGTGCCCCCCTGTCCCCCTGTCCGCTTCCCTCTTCCCCCCCCCCCCAGCCTGAAGCACCTGTGGTGGAGAGCCCAGGCGCTGCGCTTCCTGCTGCGCGCCCCCTCCCCCTATCTCTGCCACGTCAGCAACGTCATCCGGCACGCTGAGTTCGGGCCAATGGCGGCACGGATGGCTGCGCTTGGGGAAGCTGCTGTGGCCCAGGCTGATGTGGCAGGTGAGGGAAGCTGCTGTGGCCCAGGCTGACGTGGCAGATGAGGTAGGGAAGGATTGTGATGAGAGGGATTGCATGTGGGAGGAGTATGAGTGCGTTGCAACTCTTTTGTCCCTCATGCCTCTCTTGTCCCTCATGCCTCTCTTGTCCCTCATGCCTCTCTTGTCCCTCATGCCTCTCTTTTCGCCTCTCAGACTACAGGCATACCCCTCTTTCTTTCATCTCTCACATTTCTCTTGTCTGTCACATGTCCCGTGTCTGTTGTGGCTCTCCAATCTCTCCCGCTCCACGGGTTTTTGGGGAATATTCTCAGAAACAGACAACAGCCAACAACAGCAGCCAGCGCAAAACGGAGTGGAGCAGGAGCAGAAGCAGCCACAGCAGGAGCAGGAGCAGCAGGAGCAGGAGCAGCAGGAGCAGGAGCAGGAGCAGCAGGAGGAGGCAGAAGAGGAGCAGGTGCAACGGCGAAGACTTGTATCGCAGGCAGGAAGAGATTGGGCTGCCAGCACTGCCAGCACTGCCAGCCACAGCCACGGCTCCACTTCCCCAGCAGATGCTCCCTCCTCTATCCAAGGCACCTCCAGCAGCATGGAGAGTGACTTGTGGCGGCGGAACGGGGCAGTGTGGGTGCCTCGGCCACTGGTGGGCGTGCACGTGGGGAGCGCGGGGCAAGAGGGAGCGGAGGCAGGCGTGCGGAGAGCCATGCAAGGCACCCCCTCCACCCCCGAAGGCACCCCTGGCAGCATGGAGAGTGACTTGTGGCGGCGGCACGGGGCGGTGTGGGTGCCTCGGCCACTGGTGGGCGTGCACATGGGGAGCACGGGGCAAGAGGGCGTGCAGGCAGCTGTGCGGACGACAATGGGTGCACTGCTGGCTGTGAGGCAGCAGCTCCCTGCTGCTCGCTTTGTGTGGCTCTCTGGTGATGAACAAGAGGTGAGCAGGGGGCGAAGGGTGGGAACGTCTCAAACACGTGGAGAGCACAGGGCAAGAGGGCGTGCAGGCAGGCATGCGGAGGACAATGGGTGCGCTGCTGGCTGTGAGGCAGCAGCTCCCCGCTGCACGATTTGTGTGGCTTACTGCAGATGAACAAGAGGTGAGCAAGGGGGGAAGGGTGGGAACGTCTCAAAACACGTGGGGAGCACGGGGCAAGAGGGCGTGCGGGCAGCTGTGCGGAGGACAATGACTGCGCTGCTGGCCGTAAGGCAGCAGCTCCCCGCTGCTCTCTTCGTGTGGCTCAATTCTGACAAACAGGAGGTGAGGGGGTGGGTTTTGGGGCGTCTCAAAGCCCGTGGGCACGGTGGGGTGAGTGGGTGTGCAGGCACGAGTGGACGTGAAGGCGGGCGTGCACAGAACTGTGCCTCCCCGCTTCCTGTGCCTCACTGCTGACGAGCAGGACGTGAGGGGGCGGGTGAGTGGGTGAGGGGACGGTGAGACTTTTTCTCCATCCTTCCCTCCTCTCTGTGCCACTTGTCTGGGCCGCACAAATTTCTTTCTGCCGCCCATCTCATGCCTGCATATAATCTGACAGAAGCCTCCCCCTATCTCCCCACGTCCGCTCATCATGAAGCACTTTCTAAGTCGATTCAAAAATCACCCAACACTTCTTCCTCGTTCCCTCATTTTCTCATTCTCTTCCCCGTCCGCCCATCCCTCTCCCCTCTCATTCACTAGCAGCAACCCCTGGCTAGACATGGTTCTACTCGCACACGCCCCGCCGGTTTTTGAGACGCCTAAAAATCCTGCCCTTCTGCCCAACAACCACTCTCCCTTCCTCCCCTCAGCCACAGGATAAGCTAGCAGCAACCCCTGGGTGGACTTGGTTCTACTCACTCGCACACGCCCCGGCCCTCCACCTCTACTGATCGCCAAGCATGCATCTCTTCCCTCGCTCTCTTCCCCTTCCGCCCAACCACCACCCGCCCCTCCTCCCACCACCCGTTGGATCAGCTAGCAGCAACAGCTGGGTGGGCGTGGTTCTGCTCGCACACTCCCCGCCTCTCCACCTCCTCGTCCATCTCTCTACATCTGCTCATCACCTTGCACTCTCCTGTCACTGCCTTCCCTTCCGCCCCTCTCCTCCCCCCAGCCATTGGATCAGCTAGCAGCAACCCCCGGGTGGACGTGGTTCTACCCCCACACGCCTCCCTCCATCTCACCACCTCTGACTCTCTTCCCCTTCCATCTGTCTGCTACACCTCTCCTCCCCCCAGCCATTGGATCAGCTGGCAGCAACCCCCGGGTGGACATGGTTCTACTCGCACACGCCCCGCTCCTCCTCCTCCTCATCTACAGCAGCAAGCGCCAAGCAGCAGCAACAGCAGCAGGAGGTGGTGGGAGCAGCGTTCACGAATCTTCTGCTAGCCCAGCAGGCTGATGTGTTCGTTGGGTCAACCAAGTCTCCTCGGTCTTACCTCATCTATGCGCTCCGCTGCACCGCTGGGAAGCTGCAGAGCAGCTTCTTAGATGGGGGGCTGTGAGTGTTTGCTAGTGTGCTGAGCTGATAGCCCAGCAGGCCGATGTGTCTATCGGCGCTGCCAGCTCTCTCGCGTGTGTGTAATAAGACGATTTGTTAGTCAACTCGAAGAGCCTTCACGAACCTGCTGGAGGCCCAGCAGGCCGATGTGTTCATCAGGTCAACCAAGTCTTGTCGGTCCTATCTCATCTATGCCCTTCGCTGCACTTCTGGGAACACGGGACTATGACAGATAGAGTTACCGCAACACTTAAGTATATTGTGCATTACAAAGCTTAATGGAACAGCTGAATATCAGTTTGAATTCAAACAGTTTCAATCTTTCAAGTTTCATGTTACATTTACGTTTGCGTAACGGTAAACAAATCTGCGCATATCGCATCTCAAGTGGTGGTTCTCATTCTCGCCATTTTCGATGGCCAGGTTTGGGATGCCAGACCGAAGTCCCTGGGGAGTAGTTTGCTTGAACCATGCGTGCGAAGCGCGTTTCCTGACAGCGCGAAGCCTTCAGTCACCTTGCGACGCATTACAGGCTCCGTCTCAGTCGCTGCCCCCCGCCGCTATGCGGCGACAATTGCATTCTATTGACGATGACAGAACAGAATCTTTCGTTGAGCAGCCTAGGTCTCATTTCACGACGGCGAGTCCGTCAAGTTTACCCATCATCCAGTCAACACACCAGCAGACCTCTTCTTTTCGTAGACGGACCGCGTTATGATGCTTGGGCAGCGAGCGAGCTTAACGGAAAATGAGACCCGTATATTTTTGGGCAGCTACAGTTGAGCCTGTTGCCCAGAAACTCCGTGAATGTGGAATACCGAGCCGCATTACTGTCAAACCGACAGCGCCAGGCTTGGAGGTTCGGCTTGGGACAGAAGACTCGACCTTCTCTTACTGGCTGACCAAATCCCGAGCTTCGAGGTTCGGCTTGGAGCAGCAGACTCGGCCACCTCCTACTGGCAAACCGAGGCCTTCGTGGTTCGGCTCCTCATCCAGACCAGAGGCAGAGAACTTTTCGGAGTGTTTCGTTTCTTTATTTCTTCTCCGGTCGGGCAGCAGGTTTGCTTCCACCGTAGCCTCGAGAGTTGCTTCTCTCCACCCATTTCCATCTACCCTTCCCTCCGCTTTTTTCCTGCCTTCCGAACAATACAAAGCCCACCTGTCCTCGCCATTCCCACCACCACAGCACTTGAAACATCATTCTTCCGTTGACTCTTAGAATCATCTTCTGGTTCCTCTAGGCTTCGATCAGCCCTTCCAGCTTCGTCTCTCGCGCCTTTGCGATTAGCCTCTCTTTCATATCGCTATGGCATCTCGTATCCCCCCGACTCTTGCTGGATCTGCGCGCCGCGCTAACCTCTTGAAGACGTGGCGTCACGCGATTGCAGTGCGCGTGGGACGCTTTAACGAGGTAGAGCAGTGCGCTGTGCGCTCCCCCCGTGCGTCGCTCGGCTTCTCCCCTCTGCGACCCAAGCCCGTGGCTAAGCCGCCCAGCAAGAAGCCCAGGCCCAGGGATGTGATGGGTACCGCTGCTGCTGTGAAGCCCAGAGCGGTGCACAGCGGTCAAGCGACCGTCGCAGCTGCAGCAGCCAAAGCTACGCCTGCTAAGGCGACGCCAGCTAAGGCGACACCTGCTAAGGCGACCCTAGCAAAGGCGACGCCAGCTAAGGCGACGCCAGCTAAGGCGACGCCAGCAAAGGCGACGCCAGCCAAGGCGGGGTCACCCAAGGCGACGCCAGCTAAGGCGACGCCAGCTAAGGCGACGCCAGCTAAGGTGGCGCCAGCGACTCCAGCTAGGACGACACGTGCTAGCCCTACTGCTGCGGTAGGTGTGAAGGCTGCAGGTGCAAGCAGCCCAGCAGCAGTACCAGCAGCCGCAGCCGCAGCAGTTCCCCTCAGCCCCAAGGTGGGACTTGCTGGCGGGTCTGGAATCCCCAGACCTGCAAGCAGTGCAACAAGGAGGGCCGCGGCAGGAATGACGGCAAGTGGCATTCCCAAGCCAGGGAAGGCAGCAGCCAAGTGAATGGCAGGAAAAAAATATAAAAAGGGAAAAAAGGAAAAAAAAAAAAAAAAAAAAAAAAGAGAAGAAGATAACAAAAGAGAAACGAAGGACAACAATAACCTGCAGCAGCATCAGATGGGATCCTGGTCATGTTCAATGGGGATGTGAAGGGACGAATGTGGTGGGTGAGATGGCATGGCTGGTGGGGGCTAGAGGGAGGTGCATGGAGGGACTTACCCCTTTTTCCACCCTGCTTGCAGGGTGTTGTGGGAGAGATGGGAGGAGAGGTGGAGGAATGTGGTGAGCTGGAATGGGGAGGCATGGCATGAGGGGGAAGAGCATGCCCTTGGATCCGTTGCTGCATGGCATGAAATGACATTTTGTTAGATCCATTGCTGCTCACCTGCCTGGCTCTTGAATGCCCTTGGATCCGCTGCTGCACTGTGCTGCTAGGCTCTTGTGTAGTAGCAAGTTGTAGGTTCTCATAGATTATGTTGCTTTTCTGTAGCTTGTCGTATTTGATGCTATATTTATGTATATGCTGTTGATGTGCTTTTTGTGCTGGTGTGTTGCGACTGAGTGGTGCATGAAAGGAAGGAATGGTTTTGGTGGGTGTATTCTTGTGTTGAGGGGTGAAGCTGGTGTTTAGTGACTTGATAGTGCTGCTCATTGGCTGTCTGATTCAAGGGAAGTGCTTGTGCTGACTGTTGTCATGACTTCACCCCGTTTTGATCCCTTTCTGTCCCTTTGCCCCTCCTCTTCCCCCCTGCTTCGAGTGATTTCATCTCAACGTGTTTCCTCTGCGCTTCTTACTGACGTCATGGTTGGGAGTTCCGAGCATTCGTTCCATTGTCCCTCGACTTACCCCATCCCTTCCTGACATCTCTTGACTGTCAGTTTTGTGCTGCTTGGTGAGAATTTCATTCCAGTTTTGTCACGTCCTGATGTCATCAGGCTTTAAGTTTGTTGTCAGGAGACTTATCAGCTCCATAAGCGTTTACCATTCTTTATCAGCTCCTGATGCTGGCTTATAGTATACGATGCTGCACTATTGTTCTTTTAGCATATGATGCTGCATCGCACGCCAGTTTCATCACCTCCTGATTCTTTCCTGATTTCATGCCACATGCCATTCATATCAGCTCATCATGCTTTGAGATTCTCATGCGACCATTCTCAGCTCATCATTGCTTCACACAGTCATGTCCCTTTCATTTGCTCATCATTCGCTCCTTAGCTCATGAGCTGCATGCCATTCGCATCGGCTCAAGATGCTCTCAGTGGCTCGTGCTCATTTCAGCTCAGCATGATGCTGGAAGGGAATGGTGCGTGGAAAGGAGGGACAGCCGTTGGCGTGCCTTTGGCCAGAGGAGGGGTGAAGAAGGGGGAAGTGGTTCAGCAGGGGCGTGGAGAACGCTCATGCTCACCTGCTTTTTCTGGAACCCTTCAACTGCTGGTAATGAATCTCATCAGCTGATACCTTCTAATTGAACCCTTCTGTTTTTTTTACCTCCATCTTCAAGAGATTTTACTTCTGCTTAGGAAAGCAATTCCAGCCTGTCTTGCCCTATCAGTCAGTTTCAAAGTTTTAACGCTCTTTCCCTTATGTGTTCACAACTCCCTTCCTTCCTCCCCGCTCAACTTCCTTTCCTTCCGCTTCCAGTCAACCTTCACCACTCTACACCTTTTCTCACCGCTTAGGTAGATTCTTTCTGAGTTTCCTCTTGAGGCCTGCATGCAGTGACTTGAGAGAATCCAGGAACATATTTCTCCGAAACCCATCCCTTCTTGCTTCCTCAGACCGCTTCTCTAGCTATCTGACGATGCCGATTTTCATACACAATTTTGTCTTCCCGGTGTTGCCTTTCCAGTCAATATTCATGGTGCCGGTGCCTTTTGCTCTGCCCCTTGACTAAAACCTTCAGCTGATTTTGTAGATTTGACTGGTGTTTTATCCCAAATTCAGAAGCGCAAGTTTGATGCTTTTGTATTTCGTGTTTGTTTCAGGAGATCATGATATTTCCGTATTTCATGCCAGTCTTAGTAGCCTATGCTCTCAGGTTCTCATGTTTGATTCCACCAGCCAATGCTGTTTCAGTGTGACTGATCTCGTCAGCTCTGCCCTCATCATCAGCCCCTGGTGTTTTCGTAGCTCTTGTCATGTCACCATCGTGTCATGCCATAAGTATGTCAATGTGGATTTCAGCAACTCCTCATGTGTTCAGTATGCCATGCCGAATTCATCTGATCATCATGCTTTTCTGCCAATCTTATCAAGCCATTTATCCGCATATGCTTCCACTTTTACAAGCTCACGATGTCTGCAGCAGCAGCTTATGCCAGTAGTTTTATCAGTCCAGGCTTCGGTATCTTTTCCAAGTTCACTGGCTCATGACGATTTCAGCATTTCAAGGCAACTTCGCCAGCTGATGACTCATTCGCTATCGCATCCACTTTCAGCAACTCATGGCATGGCAGTATCTTCACCCGAAGATAGTACTTTATTTTTATCTCATCTGGTCATGATCCTAACAGCGCATGTCGTGATGCCAGCTCTGGTTGACTAAGCTTGGAATCATAATGGCTGATTTTCTATGACAATGGGCATGAACGACCATCTTTAAATATTGTAATCATTGAATGGGATATTGTGTGCTGCTCCCACGTCTTAATATATTTGTATATTGTAGGGCTAAGATGGAAGAGCAGATTTGATAAGAATACTATTGTGATTTTAACCAGTTACATGGTTCCAAGTTACTCAACAAACTTACAATCAATTCACGGTAAACAAACCTGCGAATACCGCATCGCTAGTTTTTCTCCTCACTTTCGTTTCGCGCCATTCTCCGTGGACTGGTTTGCGCTGTGCGCTCCCCCCGTGCGTCGCTCGGCTTCTCCCCTCTGCGACCCAAGCCCGTGGCTAAGCCGCCCAGCAAGAAGCCCAGGCCCAGGGATGTGATGGGTACCGCTGCTGCTGTGAAGCCCAGAGCGGTGCACTG